TGTTTAGAAAGATAGCTTATTTCATTTCGAAACACATTGTTGCAACATCTGTCCACCGTATCGATGTACATTTCAAAAGAAAAAAAACAGAATGCACCGAGAAGAAACCGCACATCGCATGCAATCCATCATGTATTAACCGGAGAGTTGTGTTGTACTTGCATTTTTGGCACAAACTATGGTGATAATGTGGCAGCTAATTCAGAATTCAGATACATTGTTTGCTCATCTTCAAGACTAGTAGAGAAGTGGATATCCAGTAAGCGTAGCGCCGCGGAGACGTGCTGACATACCGGTAGAAACACTGATCCGAACTTATATGATTTATCTGTTATAGCGATAACGATATGAGTGTCATTAATGAGCAAGATCAATGGTTAATGAGCAACATCGGGATATGAACAATAGGCACAACGAACAAGGAGATCATATAGTAGAGATCAGCATGAGCACTGGTGGTACGGCGGCGGCCCAAAGAGGTTACGAGGAGAGGTGATACAAACGTCCACTCGGCGACCGGGCATCGGAGCAACTCCTCGAGAGCGTCGCTTGATCGTCGTCGTCACGCCCTAAACATATGAGTCATCGTCCGACGAAGAAGCATGCGTAGACATGCTTACACCGGTGACTCACGATATGAGCAAACTCTGTTAGATTGTTTTCAGCAGTCTGTCGGTCCAACACCTGGCCCTGATACGCAAAAAAAATCAGTCGATCCGATGCGTTTCTTGAAACCCCCTCTGCTGGGTTAACCTTGTACCATCATATTCTGATCGCCAAAGATTTCCGCAACTTTAGTTTCCCTGCGCGGATTACGGTAACTTATGGTAACACAATTTGAGCTCCAGCACTGTCGAATAAGCAAAATGGAAAGAAATGGAAATGTATGTTCTTTTTTCTCCTATTCAAGACCATTCCACAAGGCGCTGAACGCAGTTCTAATTTCGATCTTCACTGCGTTGCCAACCAGCCCTGCCGTGTTTCACACCACTGTGCCCGTCGTTGCAGACTTGCTGCGCAACTTTCCGCACTGCACTCGCCGCCATGTTGTTTTCATGAACTTTCTCAGCTCTTCTTTGCATTACCGTTTACACTGTGGTCTCTTGCCTACCAAGCGGTGATTCCGTTTGCTTCCATCATCTCATACGAACGCAGTCTGTTCGTTTCCATTTTTCAAATTGCGAGGAAGCGACTGATAACGACAACTTCGTAGAATTCTTGGTCTGCTGCTAATGCGGCTGTTAGGCTCTCTAATCTCTTGATACTCTTTCCTAAATTTGGATCCCGTTTTGAACTCCGCATCAGCAGTGTGCAGCATGAGTTTTTTTTATTCATTAGTATACACTTGTGAAGTGTTCACCGCCTTCCAATCCCAACCAGCGCAGCTCTGTTCGCGCTGCATAACAATGGTATCTAATTCATAGCGAATAGGTCGCCACAGAAACCATTATCCGTCGGAATCCGGCGCTGACCCTAGCTACAATATATAGCTAACGCGACCATAAAAGACGACCGAGCTGCCTCTTATCTTTCCTTTAGCTATGAATCTTACTTATTACATATGAATCTTACTTACCACATCATCAGGTCATCTTGAAACTATATTTTGTCTTGTTTACTCTCTGGTTTTGCCGTGGTATTGAAAATTCTCCTCATCTTGGATACTCTCCCAATATACCGTAAGGTGGGAATACTAAGGAACTGATGTTTCTCTAAGATATCTCATGGAATTTATCAATATTGAGATACCCCAATAACTTTTCGCCAGAATATAAAAGAGTTTTATTTGATGAAGTTAGTAGAACCTCTGCTTCCCAAAACATATACATTCAGGGAGATGAAGTCATCCTTATCAATGACAGTCTTATTCTGGAATCCTTAACAACAAAAAGAACTCGTAAATGATACTTCTACGTCATCTATCAACATCAGTTGTTAGCAAACTTAGATCCTCATTCATTATGAATACGGATAGCGAAATGATTAGTTATATATAAGATCCAGAGGATAAACAACAAATCATATCAAATACAGGACCACTTTATGACCTGATAAGTAATATCAATGGAGAAGTAAGAGGCAGCCAGGTTGTTTTTTATGGTCGCGTTAGCTATATACTGTAGCTAAGGTCAGCGCCGGATTCCGACGAATAATGGTTTCTGGTCGCCACTCATCTGTCATTCATAATTACTTGTACGCAAGCTGTAATCTCTGTCTATTTCGCTCCCATTTGCATTTCTCCTTCAATTCAGTCTCTTTTACTTTTTTCGTTTACTTCTGTTGTTGTTTTTTGTCTTCACTAAATCACTTCCATAGGGTTTGCTTCGGCTCTATCATAGCTTTGGCCTTCTCATCTCTCATGGATTAATTTGTTCTTTACTTATTTGATCGTTTTGATGGCATTAATGTTTCACTTCCGAAAAGCTTTGATCGTTTCATTTTCGTTTATAGCAGTGGTTTTGAGGGTAATGTTAATTAGTATGCAAGTTTTACGAGTTGTTTTGGTGTCATCCACCACCATGATTTCTGCTTACGGAACAAATGTCATCTATTTTTGATATACTAAAAACTTTGCGAAGTTTCTTGTGTTTGTTGGTGCTTCGCCCTTCTCCCTGACAAGCAGTTTTTGAGACAACTTCTACTCTCGCAGTGCCGACCTGCCCCTGTGACTCTCCTAATCTGCTAAACTAGTACGTGAACCCTTTTTGTTGTAATGTACTGCGAGATTCAATACTCGTAGAAATTTTTCGCCGACTCTCTTTTAGCTACTCTTTTCGCGCTTGTAGTCTTCTTCAAAGCTCATCACCGAGTTATCCGAACTTTTTGAAAGTTTTTTGTGTTCTTTCGAAGCGTATGCGATGTTATGCTGCAATTCTCTCACATTTCGTAACGTTGACGTGCACGATATATCATTTATCCTTTCAACAAAGATTTTTTTTTATTGTTCCGCATGCATGTTTTCTATTTCTCTTAGAATATGATGCAAGCGATATCTCCTTGTTTCTTTGAATGCTTCGTCACAATTTGTTCTGCTCGTTCCGCTCTTGCTTGGCTGTCCCACTTTTTGGCTGCCTTCATTTTTCCTCTCGCTGACGTTTGCAACGGCGCACGTGTACTTTTTTGTATCATGGCACCTCCTTTCGCAAGTCATTCTCATAAACCTCGTGAACTCCCACGTCTTTGCTGGATGACCGAAAATAATCTTGAATTTATTTGCTTCTGTCGTTTTGATGTTTACACAACTGTGCAATCCTCGCTATCGCTACTAGACCACGGCGAAGCATGGCTCTTGAGCGTGGTGAACTTTTGCTGTTTATAGTCACACTTTGTAAGTGAATAAACGCATACTCATGCAGGTGCAGTTGCGACAGACTGATCTTTGATTCGATCTAGACGCTAGTACTAGATGCTATATTACTTACTGATTCAATTACAATTTTACGTGATGCTCGTTTTGCTTACCACTCAAATAACTAACTTTCAAAGAAACTGCACCACTACTATGATTTATATTTGAACTACATCGAGGAAACAGTTTCGCGGTGTAGAGATGAACCTGCATCTTATTTTCTCTTTCCTCTTCTCGAAATCCTCTCCATCTGAAAAGCGTCGCAAAACATATAAACTGTGCTAAATCTTTTTTCTATCTTTTACAATCAGAATACTTCTTAAGCTTTGGAAGGATAATTCTTATTTTCACACCCTGCACTCGAAGTTTGAATCTCTGATAAATTAAGTTATTTATTTATTTATTTATGTTGTGCACAAAAGTGCGCCAAAAAATTTGAAAGAACATCCAAAAAGTATGCAAATCACTAAGTATTTGCGAAATTTATGGGTATTTTCTTCAAAAAAGTTACGTTTGCCAGTGCTGGCAAGGTTACGAGCTGAATCCTTTTTTTATGCACGGTAGGGCTAAATCACAGCTTTTAGCTTATATTTTTGAGCATAACTTTCATTCCGTTTCATTAGAGTTTTTTTGAGTTTTTTAACTGATCAAAACCTCTGTCGAAGTAAACTCGTATTCCAGTCACTCCGCATCATACCCATATTTACTCAGAATTACTCAGATTTTCAAGTATTGCCGCCTTTTGGATGATCTACTTGTAAATTTGCGATCAATTAATCGAACTTGTTAGGCTTCGGGCAGAGTTCACGCGATTTGATCGTCGTGATTCATCGCTACAAGATAAGTGTTACGAGTTCATTGCATGCCGATCTTCTTGTATTTCGGCTCTGGTAGTTAGTCAAGGTTAGTGGTGTTGGAAGACTATCACTACCGAAGTCCAAGAAGAATGGCATGTAATGATATTATTGCAGTTGTCTTGTCGCGGTTAATCGCGACGATGAAATCGCGTGAACTCTGCCCTCGGCCTTCGACTAATTAGTTTTATTATTTTTACTATTTTGCTTTTTATTTCTACTATTTTAGAATGCAAATGTGCAGCGCGTCATTTTTCAGTTTCAGTCTGATAGTTTTAAGCAAGGGTTTTTCTGTGGATAGCTTATTACTCATTTTGCCATGCGAAAGGCCCTATCGCGCAGAAACAATATTTTATGTGATATATAAATTTCTCGAACAGAAATTAATATTACAATGCGTCTCCTACCATGAGACTCCCGTAAAGAAAAAGCTTTCGTGGGTCATAACATAGATAATGCCTTCAGGCAAAGTTTTTCCCGATATTTCAGCATCTGACCGACTGAATCCTACTGCTTCGTTGCGATCTGAGAGATGCGGCATTTTCCCATACATCCACTCGTGACACAGAAATTCTTCTCACTTGTATCGGATGTCATTGGAAGATTAATGAAATTGCAGCGCTATCGATTTCTTGTGTGCAAAGCCAACATTAAAATGGTACTCTGAGAACAACATCTGCTCTCTGCTGTGGCATCGCGCCTATGCTCGCTGTCCCTTTGACTCTATTAGTCATCAAGTCAAATCTTCGCCTTTCGTTGTGCCGCATCGGGAGTTCTCTATAATTATCTAACGGTTTATTTCAGATGTTTCCTCTCTTACCGTTTTACCTCGTTACGGTAACAATAGGAATAGCAGTGGCATGTATGCTAACCTTATTCTTCCCATCATGTCCATCCATAATCCCAGCTCTTACCACGTACGGAGTCTCCGCACTATACTTGAGGGATAAGATACAGATCGTCCGCAGTATTTCTGTTCCGAAAAGGTCAGCATGAACGCTTCGTCATTTCTGTTTCATGATCATGTAAGATTTTTCGCAAGTATAGCCTTTATCAGAGTTTGCCATTTGCTATTTACAGGTGGTTCTGGCATTTTTATCTACTCGGCTGTCTATGCACGATTTCTTGGCTGCTGTACGCTGAGACGATATCTCATCGAATGACGGCACCCACAAAAGCGCTTCAAGCAGGGCTAGCTACTCTCACTCGCGTGAAACCACAGTGTCAGTGTAATGTTCTGTTTTTTCCTGCTTTGCCATTTTACGTTCATTGCTGTTGCTCACTATAGCTGTAGCCAAAAAGATTTTTCAATTTCAAATTGTTATTGTTCCGACGTTGAGCTGGCGGTCGAATATATCCACCCATCTGGATGACTCTAACGAACGTTCCTCAAAAACGTAGAATTTTGATGTTTTGCTTTGATAAGATACCGCGTGTCATGTTTCAGAGTAAATCGAAGTTAAAGGGCTAGGAAATAAGCAGTGGTAGTTGAAGCAATAGTGTTATGGGTGCAGCAATGACTAAAGTAGAGTCTTATCTTGATATGCAGGGTTTTGGGGTACAGACGGCGACGGGTACTTATCCAGTACTTCTCATGAAGTTTAACACATTCACGACAGCATGGCCTACTAGTGGGTCGTTATCTCCAACCATAGCAGGTTTATGATAAAACTACATGAGGTTTCGGCACATGTTTGGTCTAGGATGAGCTCTAATTAGAATCATACCTTTCGTACCAGACGACCCACCGGTGAATGTAAAAAACAGGAGGAAGTTGGTACGGATGGGTCGTATGTCCAAAACGGCAGAAATGGATAAAATGGCCGTGTCGTGAATGCGTTAAAATCGCAATCCAGTTGAGATATCGATTTCGTAGACAATCTTGTACATTTACAGTCAACTGGTCCACAACGGTGGTCGCTTTGAGCTTGATATTGTTTCATGTTACGCGAAGGCTTTGGGAATCAGTGAGTCGCCTTAACTTTATTCTAGCATGATGTTCGCTGAAAGGCTCGCGTTAAGTTGTGCATCTCTGTGTATTCGGACACTACTATGAATGTGTTCCACTATATTGTTGGACTTATTCACTATGCGATTCTACCCCTGGCAATCGTTTGTGAGTCGAAAGGGATTGCAGACGACAGATATGGTTTGTTGAATTAAGCTAAATTCATCTCGAAATCCTTGAATGTACTGCATTGTTTCAGGACTAGTTGTTGCACCCTCGGTGTTATCAACCGTGCAATGGATTGGAGTGGCTCTTTTCTTCGTTTGCAATCAGCAGCAGCATCATATTGCAAAAGACTTTGCCGCCTTGAGAAGAGCACCCGACGGTGAGTTTTTTTATTAATGTTTTTTTATTTGTGTCGTATTTTTCTTTAATTTTGTCCTTCGAAGTGAACTCTCGTATTTGGAAGATGTTTTTCACAATGATTGCTGCTAAAAATTATTTGTGCAACCGCTACTTTGTCCTATCTCATAAGAATCTATGACACCAGCTTAAAAAAACACCCATCTCACACCTAGGTCGACATATACAGTCCCCCTCCCAGCACCCTCACCTGGTTAGACAAATTGCTGCCTGGAAAGAACAAGAAAAGTAGATATCAAACCTTCGTATTGCAGGAAAAACATCTACCATGTGCCCTAGAATTACGTTTACAGGCTTTGACTCAAAACATTTTTATCAAAATGTTTACCTAGATTTATCAAGAAAGTTTGGTAGCATTTCTTGTTTTAAAAAACCATTGATTGTGACTCACACTGGAATGTGCTGATTATTCTGTATGCTCATAGCTTAATCAAAAGCATGGTTTGAGCCTCACAAATCGAATATCGAGTCGAATCATCTTTGGCAAAAACTTGAAACGAAATTGTGCAAAAAGTGGTCCAGAATGCAATCGATTATTCCACAAAGTTTACGTAATGCATAATTAGGAGACGATATCGCTTTGACTAACTTTCAATAAAAGTTATATACCGTTTGAAAGCGAAAATCATAAACAACAAAATGGTATATGATACCTTTATGCCTCTACATTTTTCGCCGTCATATTGTGAATCAAAGTTTGTCAACGTGGTTTTGGAACCATGGCATTATACCAAAAGTGAGAGTTTTTAATTTTGGACATTTTTTCCTCTTCTTCAGTTTTTTTCTATCTGTTATGTCAGCTTTTCTTATATTTATAATCATTAAGCTCAACTTTTTATGTCGCCTTCACGAAGTTGTGAAATGCCATAGATTTTGTTTCTGAGTCTTACTGGAAGTTGCTCGGTTCAGGGCTCATCTCTAATTATGCTCATGGAATTTGCTATGGAGGCTGGTTCGACTACGTGTCATGTCCGCACTTTCTTTTTGAGATAGGCATCTACGCATCGCTTTGGCTAATTTTACCACATGCTTACTCATTCCAGGTAAGTTTCCGGTTCTCTCCTTCAGTCCATCACTTTGTCCTTTTGCAGTTTTTGCTCATATTTGTCGTGGTGAATCAGATGTTTGCCGCGCAAATAACGCACCGATGGTACCGAAGAACTTTCAAGAATTATCCGCAGGATCGGAAAGCTATCATACCCTTTTTACTATGAGTTTCGCCGGAATTCCTCCGCATGTTGATATATTGTTGCATCAGCTGTTGTTTGAGAACAGCTGTTAACACCTTGGTAGTAACGCTTTAATAATCGTGTGATTCTTAGAAAGTCTTCTTACGCCTATAGAGTTTTGAAAATTATAATGTTTGATGTCTAGTCTCACCCTTATGAAATTTCCAGTATCTAACAGTGAATGATTTGAGTTTTTACATTGTATTATCAGCTTTTGAAAAGCGGACTTTGTTAACGGCTCTTCTGTTCTTGTTATCTGAATTTTCTGGAGTATCCTGTTGAACCTTACTGTTGAACTTTTTAACGACGGAAAATGCGAACTGGCTTAAACAAATTCAGGATTTTCTATGAATTTTGAGGAAATAAATATATGGAGGATTTTTTCATGCACCTTGTTATTATTTGTCTTGTTACGGTTTGAAAGAAGCTATACTTAAGTTTTATTTATGATAAATAAACACAATTAGCAGCTAATACTTATATACATCGCACAACATTAAGCGAAATAGTAGCACAATCATCATTCAACATCGGAAGGGTTCCATTTTGTACGTGAAGGGTGAAGTGACTCAAACTTTCGCGGGTGGAAGCTGAAAAAAATGCATAGAACAATGATTTTTCAACGTTGGTAAATGGTCTGCTTTAGACTATTGTTCGACTTAAGCCTAATTTTTTTTGCTCTTACCTCTTTCACAATTTTGGTGTTATCGAGAGCGGCTTGCTTTTGCTCTTTAGCAGCGCTCAGGTTTTCCTCCTCTTTGTTCTTCTTCTTTTGCTCCTTCTGTTGCTTCTTATGCGGTTTCTCGTCTTTCGCCTTCTTCTCTTTGTTTTCTTCGCCGCCTTGCTTTTCATTTTTGCGATTCAACTTCTAGAATGTAGACTTTTGAATCAAGTTTTATGTAAAAGTATGAATTCTCAAAAATTCGGATGCTCCATGAGTACTGCGACAGTCCGTAGCGAATTGTCTCCACAACCAATGGATTCGTTTCATTGATTCAGTTCGGTCCGGAGTTCTAACTGCACTAGCACATTTTCTTATTTTTCAGCAATCATGGCCAATCTCAGGTTTGAATTTTTTTTTAACCGCAGAGTTATTGGTGTTCACAAGTTTTGATAGCGCAAGGATGCCTAGAAGCATTTTCCGAGTCAAGAGTAGATAATTTGTAGCCAGGTGCCTGTGGGCATCTCGTTGTAAACTACAAGTGCAAAAATCTGATTTTGTTCAAATCTCAATGAAGTAAGAAAGAGCAAAATCTCAAAAAATATACAATCGCATTCGATCTGTGTGCTTCGACTTAAAAATTTGCCCAGCCTATGAGAACACCCTAGCTCATAATTCTAACTGTTCTGATCCTTCTCTACTGCGTCATTTGTTTATAGAACTTCTCCTACTATAAGCATGTTGATTTCTGGTTCACTGCCGGTAGATATATTTCGATAGTGAAAGTGGTTGCCCCTTAGGATCTGTAATTTCACAGTGTAAATTTATTAACCAACCTTCTTTTCACCAACGTTACAGGTAGAATAGAGTTGCTTGAGTTCCTTTTTCTTTTCGGCAATCTGATCGTGCTCAGAGGATTTGACATTGCAGCTGAAAAAGTCTACATTAACGTCACCGATATTTTACAGTTCAAAAGCGGTAATTTAAAGGGTAAGATCACTGTAAAGAAGAAAATCGTTTAGGCTCCGCCCCTGGACTACTGATTATGAGTTGTAACTAACAATAAGTAGCATTTGAAAATCCAAATAAGTTTCGATACTTAGACACTTGAGTATCCTGCTGGGAGCAAGAGATGTAAGAAGGACAATGTACTGCCAAGACTTTGAGCTAGTCTTGTCTGGGAGGAAGTTTTTCTGGGTAGGTTTTTGGTACCTCTGATCCGGTATAATTGTGAGTCTATCATAATCTTCTTCTTAGCACCCACGGTAATTCGAAGTGTGACTGGAACGTGATGCATTACTATTAGATTGTTCCAAAAGTAAAACTCCTTATATGAAATGAATCAAGCTGCTGCTATTAGGATAGCATTTTATTGAGTAAAGCAGGCTATACAGAATGACCACGAAAAATCCACTTAATTTGTAATCAGGCAGAGCCTGGAGCCAAAAATCAAAACTTTCCAGGTATTCTAAATAACGAATATTTTTCCGTAAAATTCGTACGGACCTCTAACATCGTCATTATACAGCAGACACATAGTAGTACCAAAAATGTTGTCGGTCGATTATTTTCCAGAGCTAAAAGGAATGGCCCGAAAATGCAGAAATGTCATTTTTTCGCGCTTTTTACGTTAAACTTGGTACTTCTCAATTACCAAAGCCGAACAGAGGTATTTCAAGTTTGTACTTACTTGTAGGTTGTAGTACACAATGACATATGTGGGAGCTGCTGAGGGCGAGGTTTGTCATTTTTGGACTATCCTTTTTTCCTCGCTTTCTAAGCATAAGAAATGCATTGAAAGCATATTTGAGAACTACTGTGTGTCTATTCGATTATGACCAAGTTTGAGGTCCGCAGGATTTTTTTTGCAACCAACTTTTCAGGTCATAAATTTTTTTTATCGATTTTAGCTTCAAACTTTACCAGGATTAGGCGAACCTTTGGTGGTCATTTTGAAGAGCTTACTTCGCTTTATCAAAGACATCCTAATGCTCCTGCAAGAAAAGCAGACAGCCTGATTTATTCAGAAGAGGAGTTTATTTTTTAGGACAACCTAATAATTTACCAAACTTTGCATTAGAACCAGTAATTCTGCTGTTTTTTTTTCGTGAAAATTATCTGATAATGCCAGTATCGAATTTTCAAATAAATATTTATCTCCGCTCTCCGCTGAAAACAAATAGAAATGATTAGACTCAGATTTTTTGTGCAAATTTGAAATTTCTCTAGTCGTATATATTCTAATTCACTCACTCCTTGACGACACTGCAGCACTTGGCAATCTTAGCGCATTGCCATCGCATACGTTTTGCTTCTCTGGCACAGCTCTTTGGTTTTTCTTTCTTCTCTCTCTTTTCCTTTCTTTTCTGTCTCTTTTCTGCCATATCGCGTTTTACCTGAAAAATAATTAATAGGCTTTCGTCAGCGATGGTTTTTGCATAACCAAGTCAGGCGAGCATACAATGTAACACAGTAGCTTTGCGTATGTAAAAAATAAATGACTTTACCTTCCTCATGGCGGTTCTGCATTTTTCCAATTTTCTATGGCTCAGGTTAGCAGCTTCAGGCATCCTCTCGCGAACACAAATTTCCACATGCTCATTCTTCTGAAAAATCATTAAAATTCGTTCTTTCTTCTGCGCAAGACAGTAATTTTTGAACAATCCCGGTAAAGATGGAAGTATTAGTGAGCTGACGCAAAAACACATTTATCAATTTCCCTATCATTATTTTGATCTGATTTTTTCTGCTGTCCGACCTTGGCTGGGGATATGAGCAAGGTCATGGCGATAAATTTGCAGTGAGCAGAAATTTTTGGACTGATAGATTTTTTGAATTCTGCTAATTTTAGACCAAAAGCAAGAGCTCGGTTTGAATTAAAAAATAGATCACCAGATTTGAATTACACAGCAGATTATTGCATTACTATTCATATGCTCAATGTGAAAAAATCTTTACTTTGAAATTGGAGAGGAACAATCATAGAAGGCAAAGCTATTTAATGGAAAAAGGAAAATGACAAAAATCTAGAAATATTGGGGGTTGCTTCTCCTCCTCCCATCTGCGGAAAGCAACCTACAACATTTCTAGATTTTTGGATCATTTTCATTTTTCCTTTAATCAACTTTGCCTTTTATCGTGTTGGTGCGCATTATTTTAGGTCGGTGCGAAGGTTATTTCCGTTTTTTCAACCTGTCATGAAAACATGTGTAATAAAGACAGGCGAATGCCCTAAGCACTGTCAAGCGCAGCTTTTCTTCCTCTTTCCAATACTCATGTTTTGGGACCATTTGCTTTGGTGGTTTTTGAATTGCAGAAATTTCAAACTCATGGTTTTTACCATGCCCAACTTTAGCAATTTTTCAAAATCTTCATTTTGAACTTTTGGAAAAGCTTTGATAGCAGTTGGATAGCGCAAACAAAGTCCAATGCAATGCAATCTTCTCGCATCTCCAATTAGCTTTTTAGTATTTTTAGATTAACCTTTTCAAAAGTCTTCATTTGCGAAGTCGCAAAATAGACAAAGGTTCCAAATACTAACAAATCGTCGGAGTTTTAAACTTGCAAAGATCGATTATGATAACACTCCAACTTTACAAAGCATCAGAGTGTTTGCCTTCTAATTGTACAACACGAGGCGGGTTCAAAATCAGAAGCTATGATGATTTTTTCAGCAAATACTATAAGAATTGGAAAGGAAAAAGGCCTATCAGCATTTGCCTGCCTTTATTACACATGTCTTCATGACAGGTTGAAAAAACGGGAAGAACTTTCGGACCGACCTAGTATCTGCCCAAATTAGATGTCAACTCAAAATAAACAGCGAAGCGCATCAATCAAGTTTCTGCACTCAACAGTAATTTTCCCCGGTTTTCAACGATAAAAAAATACTCATTGCTATGCTCAACTCGCCCGGCTAACGTTTGCTTCAAGGTTAAATTGGAAAATTCTCTCACCTCATCATAGAGTGCTTGTAGTGCTTTATGAAGCTCTAGAGCTCCTTCACAGAATTCCTTCCCAGAGCTAGCTGCAGCAGTGGCGTTGTCAGCAAGACATTCGGCTGACTTTTGATTTGCCCTACCCATGCAGTCGGCGTACTCTGCGCAGAAATCGATCTGAAATGTTCAGATGAATATCATAAGAGGTTATTCGAGCTTGTTTGCACAAACTGTCTTCAGTTGTGAATTCTGCCAATGTTTATAGGGTGCTTTAAATTGCTTCATGGAATTTCTGCCGAAATATACGACCTCGGAGACAAATTTTCGCATTCCAGGCGGAACGAATACTTTCCATGGAATAGACTTAAATGACATGACTTATTCTGAGTGAACTTCCTTCGAGGAATATTGCAAACAGTTTGAGAGTCGGAAGGGAGCGTTGGTTTTACAAGACAAAAATTTTCTTTTTGAGAACAGCTCCCTTACAATTCATATAAGATTTTCAGCACATTTTTATGTTGGAGTTTGCCTCCATGCACCCAATTAGGGTGAAATTTTCTTCAGTCACGCTGTATGGTTCTTACAGAAGTTTTTTCAGTTTGGCAAAATTTGCTAACTTATAATTTTGGATCGTCCAGTCATTATTTGATTATCGCGATTCATGACAACGAGGGCAGTCAAATTTTTTGAATATCCCAAAAATCAACCCCAAAAATGCGGTCCTCTTACTTGCTCGAATATATATGTCTAATATTGGTTTATACAATTGCTGTATTTTCTTCATACCTGAAATGGAAAAAAAAGATAAATGGGAAATTTCGCTGCCCTGGTCTTTCTTATATAATTCATAAGTATCAGGGAATTCTAACTTTGTGTTTGCTCATAAAAAAGCTTGATTTTAGTCTTCGTGGTAGAAAGAATCCACCTTAAACGGCTCAAGCGTAACATTTTATAAATTAGCCACCGAGAACGAAACTTCGAAGACTAAAATTTCGGACACTGTGCTTGGTGGTTGCTCAACCTTGATTCGAAGATTGCCGAGGCTCCGACGAAGGTGAAGGCACCGAAACGTTAGCCTGTTTGAATAAAGCGTGTTAACGATCTTGGTTATCGGCTATAGAATACGTATTCGAAGATGGCTTTTTGATTTGAATTTTTGAGTTTGCTGGCAGAAAATCGCGGAGTGCCGCCAGCTAGCCCAAAAAACCTGTAAAAATCTCTTTCTTAGCGGAAGTCCATCGTTACTTTGGCATGCTTTAATTTTATATGGAAATGCAATCTGAAAATTGTCACTGCACGGGATAAATTCCCTTATTGCTGGTTTTTTCTAGAAACACTTTGGAAACAGAATTTGGACACGAGACTTGGTTAAAACACTGTGATGTTTTTTGGAGCGTCAGAAATGTTTTCGCTGAAAAAGTGCAGCAATGGGGTATTTCTTCTGTGAAATGAAATTTTTCCAAATTTTTTGTTTTTGTGTCATTATACTAGGTTGAAGTCTGCCAAAGTAACGGATGGATTTTCCCTATGGTAATTTTTACAAGTGTTGTTGGACTGGCTCTCGGCCCTCCGTGAATTTCTAGCACCCAACTCAATTTCGCAGAACTTGTAACACTATTTTTGAAGGCTTCGTTCTCGGGTGGCTAACCCATAGTCATAACATCCCTTATAGAGCGCTTTTACTATTTATAAAATACTGAGCCATGAATTTAGGTTTAGTACTTAAAAAGTTATTAAATTTCATTTATATTATGCAAGACTTTCGTACCGACCTGATAGTTGGATTATGACAGAGATAAATCATAAAACAAGCCAAAGTGCCCCACATGTCCTTAGTTAACAAGAGCGACAAAGCGCAGAATTACTATAAAAATCATCTCTATAAAAAGAAACGTGAGCCACAAATAAAAACCCTTGATTCAATTTTCTTCGAGATTGACAACGAACAGCTGTTTGTTGGGGTGTTTGAAGGATGAGCTCAAAAGAAATTTTTGATAAACATAGAGTGAAACACACTTTCTTGGTCATATGTATATGTATGAAAATATGGAAGAAGACCTGTTTTTTTGTGCACAAGTTTGAAGATAAAAAAACGGCATGATTTTCGAGATTTTATCAGTTCCATATCACTCTCAAGTTCTGCTTATAACGATAATTTCGACCGTTTGTGTTTGAAAAAGTCGTATAAGCAGGAATAACTGATTTTCTTAGTTCATGCCCATGGCAACGAATTAGCCTTGACCCTTACAACACGTGAGCCACTATAATTCTTCACTTGATATCGTGAATGTGTAAATCTGCGTCACCACAAACACAAAAAAAAAACGACTCACCGTGTCTGTTCCATTTCGCTTGGCCCAACATCCTGCTACACTCAATAACAATACTACTAGTAATCGGCTCATACCTGAAAAACGAGAAATATAAACCCAAAATGCTACTTTCACTAATTACGAAGGGCAAGATGATACAGAATTTTCTTCTGCAGTAGCGAAATCCAATTCAGATATCGTACAGAATTTGGAAAATCGAAAAAGAAAGGCCCAGGAAGATTGAAAGTGCAGCGAAATGAGCTGTAACAGGCTAGGCGGAGCTGGAGAATGTGAGATTGATGGAGTAGATTTGACGTAGTTTTTTTTTTTCAGCGATGGCGACCGACGCTTGCAAACACGCAACAACTGCGCTCTAGTAGAGTAATTTTGTGATTTTTCTCTGATAGTCGTGACTAGCTACATCTCTTTCGAAAGATATGGATTCAAAGCAAGAGTTCGCTTTTATCTTATTTTCGGAGAAAGCTCAAAGCAACAGGTTATTTGAAGAATTGAGGGCGCAAAGATCTTGTTATAAAGAAGTCTAGCCTCGTTGGCGCGTATTCTAGTTGAGAAGCTGTGGGAAAATCTCAGCGGCGCTGTGGACGTGACGGATTTGACTTATGGGGAGCCGACTGAGTGTCGTATGAATAAGGATCACTCGTAATGTGACGGGGGCTGTCCTCAGCGGCCAACATATGGAAGACGAGGGTCTGGACTAGTAAGTGAAACATAGACTGCGCGTGAGGTCGAAATAATGCAAAATGCGATTTCAGTATACTGCTCCCCAAAGATTTGAAGGATGCTTAGTCGCTAATTGCTTAGTCGCTAATAACACTCTTGTATCACATGGTTATCTCTACTGCTGTATCTATTGCTAAATCTATCGCTATCGCGGATCTTTTGATGCATGGTGTACGGCTGACTACAACATAGATGTACACTACAAAACGAATTATCTCTCGTTTTGGCCGATGTAGAATTATGATAAGTGCTTGAAAGAGTTTGGATAAACTAAACTTTCCCCAAAAAGAATCTGAAAAAGTTGGAAATTATGCTACTACGTTAAAGTTGCCCTGCTTTACTGTAACCATTCAAAACTTACGACAGATATAGAGTACAGTAACAGTGGTTTCTAACAATTGTCAAAACTCTGGTCATACCATGTAAACTGCTCTACAAACTACAAAGTTATTTTTATAATCAGCTCGTCTAAAATTTACAGCAAAGGTTTTCGAACGTTTTGAAATTTTTCTGAAATGACGGCGGACTTGCAATTGCTATTGTGCATCTAGAGTATGAACACCTATGAGTCCTGCTGTGATTTTGTTAGGGATGGACTTTCTTCACCTTTTTGATCCGCTTAAACTTTTGGTTGATATTGAAAGTAAAGTTTCAACGAATTTTCACTTTGACCCCTATTGTTAGATTATAAATATGCTATCTATGAAGTCGCTTAATAGTCGCTTAGTAGTGTTTAATGTTTCATGAATTGGTTGTTAAATTTGCTTTTTCGCCGTTTTTGGATTAGAAGAATGCCGAAAAGTAACAAAAAGTGGAAGGATTTGTCTAAATGGATTAGGGTTTTTTATCTGATCTGCTCATGTTGAAAAATCGTAGAAGATGTGCCAACAGTATGTAGATATTGGTGCAACTGGTCCCAGCTTCTTGCCTTAATACTCGTGCTTTTAGTAGTCCACTACTTTTGTTAGTATTCACTTGTAAATCCCCTCTCCTTTCCTATATCAATGGCAATCACATAGTGTGATAATTAAGCTTCGATAGCTCTCTTATACTCAGGTTTGAGATTGATTGCCGCCGTTACCTAACGAGAAGCGTTTTTTATTCGCACGTAACGTTTTGCATATAGTCTCTCGAGGGTCTCTGGAGATAAGCTGAAGCTGTTTTTAGCTTTATTAGGCGCAATCAACTGTCTGATTGCTTACTATACAATTATAAGTTTAACATATAAATTTGCAGTGACTGCATGAAAGAAGAAGACTATTGAGGTGCAGGATACAAAGGAAGATCGTGTGAGGACTTGTTTGTATTATTACTACAATCTCTGCTGCAAATTATATACCAACAAACAGAAATTTTTCCTTTCAGAAGAAAACAAAAATGTCTGCTAACCGAACGGAAGGAGTTATTTCTTGTCAACAAGGACGAATCCCATACACAGCGGTCTTACGAAAACTCCTCCTCACTTGCACTTCTCAAATAGGTATAACTAATTTATGCTAATTACCATTACCAGTGATTACATAATTGAATATTAGCTCGATGTGGATGATATATGCCTTACTAAACATTAGCACTTTCGAGGAACTTGCATGGCAACTACACCAACTAATCTCCATTCAAACCTTGTTGTCCGTCAAATTTTTGTAACCAATCTATTGATTTAGGTGTGTGAAATTTTGAAGGATCAATGAGGGATATCAGATTAAAACTATTACCACTTCTAATGCCAACCGGAAACACCAGAAAACTTTCTTCATTACCTTTTTGAACCTTTTGAGTCTTCAAGACTACTAATCCCTGAGAAAATGAGCAGGTTTGAATGCACCTCACACAGGAGTTCAACCAACTCTAAATAACGAAAAGTTTCAAAGGTGGAAAATAAGTTCGTTCAAAATTATTACAGAACTATGTTACACATCTTAAGACGCTCTGTTTGTTAAGTGGAAATGAGTCATGCTAAAAAAACAAACCTTGATAAGGTAATTAAAAAGATAGTACAATTGCATAAAAACGAGAAGTTAGAAAAATTGTGAAGGTTTTGTTGATGGCTCAAGATTGAGCTTTGAATTTGTCAAGGAAAAGAAACTCCAGATGTAAAAGTCTGGAACTATTTAGCTTATAAAGGACTTTTAATTCAATAGATCATTAGTTTTACTTGCAATTTTGTTCCTTGTTTGTCTAATTTCTCACCGAGAAAATCTGTCAAAACTCACTAACCCTGTGATAAATTCATTTTTTATTAGCTATGTTGTACCAATTCAATTATCTCTATCAACTTATTTTGGGTATACAATGCGAAAGCTGAAAGTCGATACAATTTTTTGCCTTTTTTCTTCCACTATCAATGTTTACGTTGGATCAGTTTATGATCTTTTTTTTTGCTGTAGCACATCCTTTCCATGATGTATGTTCAAAATGAAATAAAAGGATAAATGAAGCGCAATGCCAAATGTAATATTTTTGAAATTCAGGAGATATGATCGACTTAAAATCCCAGTGGATTCACGAAAGTGACAGACTTTAGACCCCTCTCAAACGATATGATGCTCACTTTGTGTAATTGCGCCACGTAAAAGCTAGCTTCTTAGCAATCGTATCTTTTTCTAGCGTCAAATATTTCGCCACTACATTAATGGGGCAGTCGAGCTTGTACGATTTGCTTCATAAGAACATTTAGTAATGTATTCGAAGGTAGCAAATTGGAGGACATATAGACAGTTGCTAGACAGAACTACTGGTAAAAATATACGTAAATGTGCGCTCTGGCCATTCACGCGTAAATGTTGTAAGAACCGCACTATATTCGTCAAACTTGTTAGGCTATATACGGAGCGTTTCTGTTACTTGGCATTCTTATAGTTAGTCGAGAAGGGGAAACTGGAAAATAAAAACACAAAGTTACAATGATAAAGTTATAGTTATAAATATTATCAAAAAACCGACTAAAATAAATAAGAGGAAAATGTTCGAATTTGCCAAGTTCAACATTTCGACGGCAAGGTTTTCGGACAACGGGCATCGACAAACAAATTTCGTTAAGGGCTTTGGGCTGCAAATGGCAAAAACAATGGGGCGCCGTGTGTCGCAGGCAATTTGGAGAGGATTGGCGGAAGTAAAATGAGAACGATGAGCCGAGCACTGCTGATGCGCGAACGAGAGCTGAAATTGGGTCCATCCTAGCATTGTAAAAGATTTGATGGCGGGATTTGGAAGTAGGGCAGTGAGAGCTTAAGTGGGCATTCTCAAAAAGTGGTGAAGAATGCGAGACAAAGAATTTAATTGCTCCAAAAAGGTCCGTGTTTCAAGCGGAGGGCTGGAAAGACGTAGCGAATGAAGGAAAGTCTGCTGCACCCGTATCATTTGTGCTGGCTGGGCAATTGTCCAAATGGCTCATAAATAAATCGGAAACGGGTAGTGGTAAGAGGAGTATCTGCTCAATCTGCAACGTTGCGCTGACAGCGACCATATGGCACGGGGTCGTGAGAATCGCTAAAGGATCGTCAAAACCAACACACTTGAAGTATCCCACGCGGGTCATTTGGGGTCGCAGCTTTGTTCCCCGAGCTTATTTGCAGTCATTTTGATACTTGGGACTGGGAGGGAGCAAAGGCCACAGATTATGGGAGCGATACTTTTTCACAACCATATGATGAAGTGAAATGCAATTTTGGATACTCGAACCATGCCCAAAACATAAGAAATAAAACACTATTTTAAAGAGTATTTTTCTGACGAGAGCGGCAAGAAGACTAGGCCGGGTCTGAGCCCCAAATCAGGAAACGAACAAAAAATTTTGGATCAGAAATCCTCAAGATATCACTAACAATTCTCTGCACTTAAGTTGCACCCTTCTCAAATCTCAAAGGCATAAAGATCTCCGATAGGGTCTAGTTGGAGAAATTTTTTCGTTCGTCATACTTCTCTGATTCAAAGGAAAAACATGTATTTGAGTTTGTCCACCTTGTGAAAGTCTTGCAAATTTTGGAAGGCCTGTTTCGAAGATGAGAAGATTCTCAGAATAAAGTGTGTCCCTAACTTACTATCTCTGGAACTTTTTCTCGTTTACAAGTGGTTCACGATCTATGCCTGTTTATAAACTTACTATTAGCCAGCTTGCTTCGCAGAGTGTTAAGGAGTTTTGCAGATGCCTTTTTTTACAAAGGTTAGTAGAATATTAGCGGCCTAAACGAAGCGGTAAATAAGCAAAAATTTAGAGCATAAACACAAATATTACAACTAAACTTATGAAGATTTAATCGAAGTTTGAGATCACGCTGGCTGAAATAAATATGGGAAGATGACAGGAAGTTATACTTAGAGCGTGAATTGAAAGTGCAGCATTAAGATGGATTTTTTCCCCTACCTTGAGTACCATTAACCGCTTGCGTAATGACATTTCTTTGCTGACTATATGCAGCGAAACTGCTTATGAACACTGTAATGAAGGAGCTAGAAGAAGTAACGCTAAAAGATGTCAAGTATGGCATCAACTGCAAGCTAATGCCTTCTGGTGTTTATATACAGGCTTCAACACTGAAGAACGCAAGGCGGGGCACACATCAAGGCTTTGGATGCATGACCGATTGAAGTGAGTGTTGTGACGCATTCATTGTCACTCCCGAATGAGGTTGAGGGCTTCGTAACGTTAATGGCCATTAAGAAAATTGCCTACAATGAAACATGGCTTTTTATGTCCGAGTTAGACTGAGGATGACTAAAAGCCCTGCAGTCATAGTGGCCGAGAATCGAATTTTTAGGTCTATACTAATGGACATAAATTTGACGGTTACTATCGTGGCCTTGCGGTGACCACAGCATTTGCGCGGGTACAATATCAGGCTTATGAATGCCGACAACTTGCTTGCATTTGCGCTAAAAGACAGCCATATAGCGCACATGAGCGATTATAGCTAACACATAAATGTCTAGTACTAGAAATGTGCGCTTTATGGACATTATGTAGTCGGGACCGCATAGGCACTACGTAGCTGTCATGTTTACTAGTTATAGACCGATCTCCAATGTCTTTCGTTCAGAAAGGAAAGTGGGGGGAATAAAAGAAAGAATGCTTAATATCAAAAAATTGAACAAATAAGAGGGAATTTGTGCTGACTTCTCAACTTTAAGGCTTCCAGACAACGAGCATCATACCTTCGTTGAGGACTTAAGCTGTGATTACCTTTGCATGGCCCGATGGATTTTTCAATTAAAAGTGTTGCGGTGCAGAGATTTTGCGGTCGAATTTGAGGGTGAGCAATAGCCAAGCCAGTAAGGGCCGGCATTTTGCGCGCGCAGTTGACCGGCATTGCAAGGGTATATAGCTAATCTCGACAGCGCAAGCACACTTTAACAGAAAGCATAGTAAACTTTATAGTCTTCCTCACCCCACAAGTCGCTAGGTGGGCAGATTTGAATTTTAATTTGGGCACGACGATTGCCAAGCACAGTTTCTTCAGCTCGCAGTTTAAGCCTAAGCATGTTTTCCTGCGTTTTTATGTCGTTGCGTTCTTTTTTGTTTTCCAACATTCTTCGTAATTACAATTGACAATTATTTTGTTCTAAGGACATTTGTACTGTTTGCTCTTCTCTTCGACTCTAACTCCAGCTACCTAATTTTCGAGAAACGATGAAAATTGGATTTTTGCCCGTAAGTCCTCTTTTGGGATGCAACATGCGTTAAAGGGTTGCTCTAGTGAATTTAATGCCTTAAATTCCCCATCTGCACAATTCTTTAAGCTTAGATAAAATCATAGTCAAAGAAGGAACACTGCTGTATGTAACATTAACCACAACAACATCGCTCATTCTGTTTAAACATAGCTAGGACACAAAAAAAGATAGCAAACAAAACCCAAAAAACAGAAAGAAAACGTGCGTAAATTTAAACTGCAGACTGAAGGTGCCGCGTCTACCGCAGTCGGCGTGCTCGCATTCAAATTCAAGTTTGTCCTCCTAGCGACTAATGGGGTGAGGACGACTACTATACTAGATATACCAGGCTAAAGTTGCTAAATTATGGCTTGATTGATGAGGACAGACCTACAACGGTTTCCAATTCACTTGCATACTTTTTTCTAAACTCACATTTGCATTTGAAAAACTCAAAAACTTGCTTGACACATTGAAAGCGTTGTCAAAGCAACACTCATCAATCACTCTCTTGTCTCCCCCTAGGGGGAGCATGTTGCATAAGCACTACAGCGCCATTCGAATGAGAACACACCATCGTATGGAACAGGCTAGATTCCCGTACGATTGAATCGTCAAACGAGCAATCGTAACTGCGCGCGCCATCTTGATTGAAATGTGGCTAGGAGGAACGGACAGGTTGGCGAGAATTGCTACACTCAAAAAGCTCTCAGGAATCTTCGTTCGCTATCTAATCTTGCAGAATAGAACATTTGAAACATGTTGAATCTGCGACACTTCTCCACCGGAGCGCTAAACGCAGCTTTTAGCGATTTTACCTGCCAGATATACCCCGTCAACCAGCTGTTGACTGGCCTAGATTTTCTACAATTGTACCATCAAACGTTTACGATCTCGTCA